TCCAGATTCAAAGAAAGGGCAAGGAACAGGATTGGGGACTAGAAACTTAAGTTCTGTGAAGGGAGACCGAAGGGGTTGGGTAGGTTTGGCCTTGGAAGAGATGATTAAGGGCCCCTTCCAACTCTGGCATTCCCAGGACTTCTTCACCCAACTCTTAAGTTAATTGCAGGGATGTCCCATAGGCTGTGGTCACAGAAGCCCAATGGTGATCACATCCATGTGATCGAATCTCCTTCTGATTTTTGTGGGCATTATGATGCCCATAAAAAATGGGCAGAGCTTGAATCGCACCATCACGGCCACCATCTCAACTTTTTTGACCACATCCTGTGGACACCTCTGATTGAGTGTATGGAATTGTATCAGCAGATACGTAAGTGGCCATGAGCTTAGAAACCCAGAAGGGTGGATTTGGCCTTTGGTTCCTGCCGGTCTTTGTGTTCCCTGTCTGGTTGCTGGGGGTGGTGTTACACTTGAGTGCTGCTCGGGACCTTCTCAGAGGCATCTTTTTGGCACCATGGGAAAACGGATGCCAAAAATTCTGAGTCGGGCCCATGATTTCCATTGAGATGGTTCCCCTGAAAGATTGTGGGCCTGCCAGGGCATAGGATTTTCATAATGTAATACTGGATCTGACCAGGAGCAAAATGGGTTTTACAGTGTGTGAGCGTGACTGCACGTGTGGCAGCATTAGCTAGTTAGTCAAGCACTGTCAGGCCAAACCAGACGCTTGGCAAATCTCTGGACAGATGGCCACCATTGCAACATACCCTTGGCAACCATCTGGAGCTCTCCCAAGGACATTCCAAGGATCTCTTTGACCTGCCCATCCACTTTCTCCAATGTCTTTCCCTTCGTCTCTCAACCTTGCCAAGCATAACCCAGGTCCATCATAACCTGAGTTTCTCTAGGCCATCACCAACTCATGTCACATGTTCTAAGTATGTCAGTTTCTGCTTGCTGATCACCCCCTGAATGGATCAGTCAATCTTTTGGAGATTTTTTTTTTTAGTGATCAGTTCTGCAGTCCACATCGCAGGTAACCATCTCCTGGTCCATGATCCCAAAGCATCTTTCTTTGACTCTTTCTCAAGGCCCGGCTTTCATAGCAGTCTCTCATCAATGGAAAAGCCACTGCTTTGGCTATTTTGATCTCTGTTGTCACAAAAGGATTGTTATCCTTCATCATCTTGCCTAAATTGTCCTTGCCTTCCTTCCCAGGGTTAATTTCTTCTTTATTTCTGTAGGGAACTGTCCAGCTTGAGCTATACTGAACCCAATGAAACACAAGTATCTCCCTCCACTTGCTGAAGTTGGTAAAGTATGCTGGGTGACAGTCCTCTTATCTTCTTAATGTTTAACAATAACACCCATTTTTTACTTTCCATTTTCACTTTCCTAATGAACAGTCCTAGGTCCACTTTATTTTTGCCTTACAAGCTGGTATCATCTGCGTATCTTAAACGGTTAGCATTTCAGCTCCAATTGTGACCCTGTCATGTTTTCCGTTCCTACCATTCTTACGATATATTCACTGTACAATATTAACAGACACGGGGACAATTTACATGCTAATCTCACTCCCTTCCCAGTTCTGAACCGTTCTCTTTCCACAGACGTTTTTTTTGGAACAGCTTCTTTTTGGTTGTAAAGGCTCCTTGGAATAATCGGATGTTTGGATGTACCTATTAGCCTTCGTATATTCCACATTCTGGCGTGATCCAAACAATCAAACCTACAGTCAATAAAGCAAAGGATAAACTTTACATTTCCACACTCTCTCCGTCATCCCTCACCTGTTAGCTATCTGATCTCATGTCTCTCTGCCTTTTCTGAGCACATCCTGCTCCTCCAGCGCTCCTCTCCCCCTGCAGGGCTGTCTTCTCCTTTGACATATCTGAAGCAAAACTTTGTCTGCAGGAGGAACAGGCGCAATGATGGGTAATTTCCACATTCTCTTGCATCTCCCTTCTTTGTTGTAAGTACATACCCCTATCTTTTCTGATCTCTAGGGCTAGATACTAAAAACTGACTACTATTGAATATGAAAATGTTACTGGATCTTTAAAAAAAAAAACACCTGTAATTAGGCCAACAGGCGAGGCCAGCCCAATTCAGGCAGGTGGAGGAGAAGTTGGAATACCGGCAGACTTTATCTTCTCAAGCTCAAAAACCGACAGGGAGGAGGACTATACAGATGAAATAAAAAGATGTCTGCCGCTTGAGAGAAAGACTGTGATGGATGAGGGCAAAATATTAAGTGCAGAGGCATCACGCTGAAGACAAGGGTGCATTGTTAAGGCCACGTTTTCCCAGCTGCAACATGTGGCTGTGAAAGAGGGGCCAAACAAAGAAAAATGGATGCCTTTGAGTTGTGGTGCTGGAGGACATGGTTGAGACTACTTTGGACTCCAAGAAGAAAAAATCATTCCATACTGGATGAATTAAAACCAGGCTGCTCACTGGAAGCACCATTCACGAGTGCAAGCTTAGATACTGTGGCCACATAATGTGAAGATCAGGGTCTGGTAGCACCTTTTCAGACTAACACATTTTATTAAAAGGCACCCACTTTTGTGCATCCAATAATGAGCTGCGGCTTAGGAAAGCAGATGCCTTTTAATAAAATGTATTAGTCTGAAAAGGTGCTATCAGACCCCTCTTGATTTCTGGCTCTTATAAGCTAACATGAGTCTCCTTCTTCAGAGTCTATAATGTAAAGATGAATCACAGGAGAAGATGCCGGTGCTTTGAAAAATGGAAGGCAATTGAAAAAGAGGCTGAGAGAAGACAAGGTGGCTAGATGTTATCACTGTTGACATAAGCATGAACTTAGAAGAACTCAAAAAAGCTGTTACTGACAGACAGTCCTGTCAAAATAATGTCCACTGGGTCACCAAAAGTTGGAGGCAACCAAATGAATGAAAACCACAACAACGCAGGGCGTCGAATCTTGTTTGTTGATCTGCCAGCGGTTGAGCAGTCTCTTCTCCTGCAGCTTTAAACAGTTCAACGGTTATTTCCTCTGCGCCTGGCGCTTTCCTATCTGACAGCTGGACTATTGGCTGTCATACCTCATTTTCTGCCGGTTCCTAATATTCTCTCTGAACAAATGCTTCTGTCAGACAACCATCCTCCACCTCGGCAGAGCCTCTCCACGTCCTTTTAACCGCATTTGGTGGATCCTTCTGCAACTAGTCTCGAGTAATCCCACCTTAGCTGCAAACGTTCCAGTGATTTCTCTGATCTTCTCAAAAATACCTCCTATTTTTCTTTTCATGGTATTTTCTGCTATTTGGTGACATTCTTCATTGATGGATCTTTCCTTGTTCTTTTCTGCTGGATGTAAATTTCCTGGGTTATTATCAAATGTCCTTCTTCTTACCTGAAGAATCTGCCCCCCACGATCATGATGGATCTTTTTCACTTTGAAATGTTGGGAATACCCTTTTCTGCCTCAGTTTTCACAATACCCATTATTTCTTCCCATAGCTCCTCAGGAACAAAGTTCGGAAGGTTTCTTTGTTTTCAGAGGAGCGGGGAGACCCTTGCTAGGTTAGCTGCAAGAACAACCCTTAGGAGGGACTCTGAGCAGAGGGGTCTTCGCACAAGAAGTAGATGCTGGAAGAAACAAAGCACCAAATGCCAGGCCTGAGATGCTTTTGCCAACAAATCTGGGCCAGCTCAGGTGTCAGGTTGCTGGCTCAGGTATCCTGCTAAGGGCAGGTGAGCGGTTCCAAATGTCTTTTCCTCCTCCGTCCCCAGCACTGTCCTTCTTGACCGGTAAAAGATGCTTCAGCATCTCACTCTACAGAACAACCTTTTGCAGTTTTCCTAATTGTCCAACGTGTTGCTCTCTGCAAAAATACTCAATGTGGAAAGGTCAAAATACGTATACGATTAAAAACGTATTTCCTGGATTCTTGGAAAATGTGCATTTTCAGCGCAAACCTGCTCCTCAGAAGTAGACCCAAACATATTCACTGGATAGGATCAGGACTCCGTTGCACGTGCAGCCAGAGGTGCCCATCCAGGGGCTGACCCCCAAAGTCTTCGGATTACAGACACGGTTGGTTTGGTGGCTCCAGACCACCAAAAGGAAAGATTCGCCGTGGTGGCCCTTGGAAGCCTGGGGTCCTCTGTTCCTTCCCCTATTTTGGACAAACCCAGCCAACCACCTGTTCTGCTGAGAAAAAGGGGGAGTGTGTGAGAGATGCTCGTGTAGGCCTTTGGCAGGGGTTTTGGGGGGCCAAAGTGGAGCTCCAGTTCAGCCCGTAGAAGCTCCAGGCCGCGCCAGTGAAGTGAAGTGGTCAGCCCCCAGTGGAGCGAAAGGCTGGGCTTTGCTGGAGAGCATGGGGCCCCCCAGGCGACCTAGAGAGGCTGAGCCACTTAGGCATGTTAAAGTCCCGTATCGGGAAGCTCCCCCAGGGACCCGCTGGCCACAGAACTCCAAGGAAAGGGGGCATCTTGATCCTACTGCCCGAGGGGAAGGACACAGCTCTTCCAAAGCCCAGGATCTGGGAAGAGCTGGCCTTCTAAACAGCCAGGGCCCTGGATCTCCCACCCAGCAGCTCTCCAGCAGAACGGCAGGTAAAGTGGGAGAGCACAGCTCTTCCCCACCCCAGCCCTGGACTGGGAGAGAGCCGTGCACCAGGCTCTGTTTGCATGGCAGCTGCAGAGGAAAAGGGTGTGGTCCCTGGAAAAGAAGCAGCCGCTTTAAAGAGCTACAGGCAGGGCTGCGTCTGCACCCCTCCCGCTCCAAAGCACCTTTCTGGAACTGAATCCAAGGCCACCCACAGCAACATTTTACAAACCACATTCCAGCCACTTCCTTCCAAGAGTAAAAACACCATCTTGTAGAAAGCTAGAGAAGGGCCACGGAGGGGACTCCAGCATTCAGGGGTGTCGTGGCTCTGGGCCATGATGGGTGGGTCGCTAGAGGGCAGAGACCTTCTCACGCTGCCCCCTTTCACACGAGCCCTCCCTTCTCACCCCCATAGGTGGAGCTGTCTGATGGGACCTCCCACATCATCACCGATGCCTATGCTGGGAAAGAGTACATCATCCAGGTTGCTGCCAAGGACAATGAGATTGGCACGTGGAGCGACTGGAGCGTGGCCGTCCACGCCACCCCCTGGACCGAAGAGCCGAAGCATCTCACCACTGAAGCCCAGGGAGCAGGTGAAGGGCCAGAGAAGCAGCCAGGCTTGCAATGCTGGCTGACGGTGGGGTGCGGGGGGGAGGTCAGCCCCTCCAATCCAGTGCCTGCCAGAAGTCTGGGACCAGAGTCTCCAAGGTCCCCTTCGGTCAGGTTGGCTGGGACTTCTGGGAGCTGTCATCTGTCATCCAGCGAGGCTGGGGGAGCTGGATTGGGGAACGCTGGTGCCTCCCCACTCATCCGTCTTCCTGGGGCGCTTGGGATCATGGGAGCATAATCGGGGGCGGGGTGGTGGGGGTTCTGTTGTGTTTTGCTGGTCGAGGTTAGCATTTAGCAGGTTGTGTGAGCCCTGCCAGAGCGTGTTCCCTGTTTCATCCTTCTGAGTTGCTTTTCCAAGCTTCTGTGCCAAGCCAGACAGGGCGGCAGGCCTGGCTCCTCCGGATAAACTGTTCCCTCGCTGTCTCTGGGCCCGGTTCACTACCCATGGCAAGAGAGGCCGGATTTTCTGAGCTCTGCTCTGACCTCGGAGGTCCTGCAGGACCCTGGGTCCCATCAGCCACAAAGAAGCAGGACCATTGCTGGTCTCTATGCATTGGAGCCCTTCTCCCCCTTGCTTTTCCCCAAGGGATGCCCTTAGAGAGAACCCCCAGCAGTGCGCAGGCGGGCTCAGGAGTGGGTTGCCTGGTGAGGAGAGGAGATTTGCAGGGCTGGCTTTGACATCCATGTTTCGGGAGGGAGGGAGGAAGGAGAGGGAGGGGGAGAGGGCAGGCGGGCAGGCGGGCAGGCCTTTAATCCTTTAATTAAGGGGCCACCAGCTCCGGGCTGCAGAACCCAGGCCACCACTAGATGGCAGGAAGGAGATGCAGAAAATGTTGCTGCCATCTAGTGGCGCCTGGATGTCTGTAGGCTAGAGCTGGTAGCTGTACTTTTAATATGTGAAGTTCAGCTGAGCTGAAAGTAGATCTTTTACAAGCAAACAAAACCCTTTGACTAGTGCTCACAGCACGCAACAAAATTAATGAACGAAAGGGAGTTCTATTTGCAAGTTTAGGAGGGCTATATTAATTTTAAACCCATGTAGCATTTTATATCATCATTAAGTATTTATTAGTGCAACAGAACTTTGCCAATCTTTTCCAGTCTTTGGTGATGTCATCATGCATCCTTCCTGCAACCCCCCCCCCCCCAAATAGCAGGTACAAAAGAAATACTGAAACTTCAAGATTTCAGCATCTTTAAAGGACTGTGGTTCTTTGGGGAGAATCAACAGATTGAATTCATTAACTGGCCTTTAACTGAGTGGATTGTTAATTTTTTGCCTTTAAGACTTCTGTATGTTTTACAGAACTACAGCATAATCCCCTTCTGGGGATTGCAAAGGGGGTGTGATAGAGTTTACAGTTAAACTGCATGATTCAAAACAGCAGAGGCTTTCCTTGCTTAATTTACACTTTCTGGTCCACCGTGGGTATTCCTCCTGCTTAGGGCTGGAATATAGTCCCCACAGAAGGGAGGAGCAGCTGCTTTAGCAGAAAGCTCCAGTTTCGGTGTTGTGTCCCGGACAAGATGACTGTCCCCAGGAGTCCCGTCCCCTGGGTCTGCGGGTGGGGCTAAGAAGGATTAGCAATGGGATGGGGTCAGGGTTCACCCACTGCTGCTCTCGGGCAAGGGGGGCGTTTCCGGGAGCCCAAATACTTCTCCCTTTGCCCAAAGTTATGTGAACGGTCCCTTTTCTCTCTTCCGTTCCTGCCTCCTTTGCGCCTTCCACGTCTTTGCTTCCTTGAATGCTTCAGTGTTTCTGGGAACCAGCAACTAATCTGAGAACCCGTGGCCAGAGAGTGCCAGCAGAAGGTCGCCGGGGTCTGGCAACTTCTGCAAGCTGAATGAAGCCAGTGGAGGAGAAGGGCCCGGCTCCGGACATACGCCTCGCCTGGGCTCTGAACTGGAGGGCAAGCTCATGCCTGGGGATGTTCTGGCTCAAAGCGAAGGGCGCAAAGTGCAAGCAGTCCTAAAGGCAGCAGGAGGAGGGGGAGGCCAGTGGCCGCGTTTGGGGGGTTTCAGTGGGGTTTTTCTGCCCCCTGGTGGCCATTGGACCACACACGAGCGGGAAGAGCAACCTTTTCCTAATGCGATTTCAATCCTAAATCCTCCCGAGTTCAAGCAAGCTTTAAACAGCCCCGAGTGCAGGGTAGCACACTGAGGCGGAAGAGGAACACACAACTTTAGGGCGCTACGTGAAGGAGGTTGGTCTTGAAACAGATGCAAACAAGCAGTTAGCAGTGAGGACCCGGTTTTTATTGCCTTTTGCAGCAAGGGAGCGGGTGACGGATGGGGGAAGTACCTCCTAATTAGTGCATCTCTCTCCTGTCCTTCCCTGCAAGATGTTAATGACTGCAAAGAAGCCTTTTCACCCGTGTAGGAAGAATTCTTACTCAGGCTGTATTCGCCCAATATACTTCATCAGCTCGGTTGCACATGGAGCATCTGCTTGCACCCAACATGCAAAGTTGGGTTAGTTTCAACCTTGGGTAGTTTTTTGTGGCTTACAGTGCAAATCCATCCCTTTGGGTTAATATATTATTCAATATATTGTGCAAAACCAGAAAATGGGTTAACTCAGGAACCAAGGCCAACTTATTGTGTGAACCGAGCTGAAGAGCCATGGGTGTTCACAAGACGGGCAAGCAAATGTTGTGTGTGAGTGATGTCCTGTTGTGTGCAACATCATTTTGTCACCATTGCAGCTTGTACTGGAGGTCTGTGCAAGGAACTATGGGGCTGACTGGGTTTTTAGATTTTGCTGTCCCCACCCTGTCCTTCTGACTGATCCTCCCCACTGACTCACACTTTTGCATCTTCCACTGGATCATCATATCCAGCCATGAGTTCTGATCACAACACAAAGCATTTCCTTGGTGGGACAACTTCTAGCCACACAGCACCTGTTTAGGGGTTCAGACTCTTCTAGCTGTGATTCTGACTGGAATTTCCGTCTCATTTTCTAAAGAGGAGCCTGTTCCTGTTCCAAGCCCTTGGCATTCTGCTCAGGCCCTTGTCGGATGTCACATGACATACCTTCTTTGTAGCCCAGTTCTTCCTATCACTATGGGATCCAAGGAGGATGACCCAGGATGACGCATATGGGTACAGAGCATCCATTGCTAGAAACTCAGAGCAATTGCAAAGGTGCTCTGGAGCCCTCCAGACTTCCTTGCTGCAGCTGTATCAACCGCAGCAAGCGGTAGTCTTGGAAACCAGGAGCACTGACCGGGGATGAAGGACTGTGGAGAACAGAGTCTTCTGCAGAACAGGCTGGATTTCTGTGCCCAGAACTGGAGCATCAGAGAAGAACAGGCAGAGCACCCTGAGAGCTGACATTTCAGACCAGAAACATGGAACATCCAGCAACCCGCCCATCAGAAATGCAACTGGCTGTGAAAGGACATCTTGCCAAGGATCCAATCTCAGGAGCGTTGAGTTGGTATGACCATACCCTCCTCCCTCCCCACAAAACCTTTCTTCCAGGAAATACGTTGCTGGAATTCTATCATGTTTATATCAGTCTTCAGCCACCTGACATCATTCTGGAGACCTTGGTCCAGGAGGTCTAGAGGGTGCCAAGTTGAGGAACATGCATTTCTCTTGGTTTATTTGAATGGTTTGGTTTGCAGGACTTAATGCCACAAACTAACACCTTCCTCTTTTATTTTCTTGATCATCTGTAGGCCATTGCTGGGGCTGTAGATCCTGGTTTCCCTCATGGTGTTACTACAATCAGCAGCTTTCCACTTCCTGTAGCATGGATGGCTAAGGGTCCTTTGAGTGCCTGCTGCAGAAACATCAGAAGTCTTTAGGCACCAATCAAGAAACTTCATAGTGTTCAAGTATTTGGCCCCTTGTAGCTCTGACAGCTGTAGGAATTCTGCTACTCCATTGGATGCTATTAAAACCCATCCCCAGCAATGTTGCTGTATAATGGATTGGGAACTTTACAAAAAGCCATCCAGATCTGGAAGAAAGAGCTGTTCAAATACACCATTGTTGGCCCACCATGTGCACGTCTTCTGGAATCAAAGGGAGGGATAATACACTGCGCCAACTCTGCAGGATATGAGGAGACCATAACCATGAGTTGTTTTCCAGTGTTTGAAAATGTGCCCCCCGCCAGCTGTCAACAATCAGGGTGGGGCAAGTCATCCATGATTCATCTCAGCCTACCAGCCGTTGACTGGCTGGAATCTGCTCCCTGTTTCATGGCAGGAGCTGATTTCCGTGATCCCCCAGGAACATTCTCCAGCAGCAAGGCTGCTTGACCTAAGTATCCCCAAGAACGCAAGGAAGTGATATGAATACTTTGCATGTTTTCACTTTACTTTTATTCTCTCCACTCAGATACAATGGTGGACATTCCAGAGGGCCACATTTTTTCTCCAACAGACTCCCCTCTGCGATCTGTGCCTGCTTCTACCACCAAGTCTCCTGTGCTTGTCCATCAGCACAGCCTCCACAATCACATCATGGGGTACTTTAGGGTTTACCAGGAAAGAATGGAGATGAACTGTATGTATTGCATTCACCAGATCTTTATGCCCTGCTTTTGTGGAACGACTGTTTGTTCACTCTCCATGTCCACTCTCTCATAGTGAGACACCTCAATGCCCAGCTCGGGACTTTGCAGAAAACCATCTCCAACATCTCCAAGAGGCTTGACCACCTGGAAGGACTCAAGGAGAACCTGCCTCCACACAGCAAGGATATCAAAGACGATCCCACACCACCCCTGTGACCCTTTACTCCTTCCCTTCTCCTCCCACCCATTCCAGTCCAACCCTCCACCTTGCCTCTGCCTAGAAGGAGAGCCCTGCTGGATTTCACAAAGCCCTTGAGATCCATCCTGGCCAGCCACAGACTCTGAGAAGAGCACAAGCAATGCTTATGGCTCATCCAATCTTCCTCCCCTCTCTGCTTCCCCACACCTGCTATCCCTACCACAAGGCATCGTTGGTTCAAACCCAAAGAGAGTTCCATCCTCCACAAATTTAAGAGGAATGTCACAATCTTCATTCCATTTGTATGAAAATTCCATAAACAGATGAAAATAAATGCACGAGTTCTCTACACACACGGGTCTCTGATTATACCTTTCTATCGAAGTGCTTAAACATTTCCTACAACCCTGAGTAAGCGAGGGGTTAGGGTTGTTAATGGATTTCCACAGAAAAGAATAATTCTCCAACTTACAGTATCTGCAAACCTCAGTCAAAGGCAGGTCACGTCTACAGACCGGCATTCAGATTTTTATTTGGTTTTAAATGATCAAAGAGCTCCCCCAGACAGAAGAGACATTTCAAGCACAACGGGAACCTTGATCCCTGGAAGGTGATGGTGAGGGAAGGGCAGAGCTAATGTCTGAGTAATTCTCACTCCAGCGCTTCACAGGCCGAACTCCACACTTCTGAATGCACGATGGGGGAATAATTCAGAAAAGCTGGATTCACAGCTTGCCATTCAACAACTAACCCACTTACTCAGATTTACTCTCTGCCGTTTTTGCTGTGACTTGGATTCAGAGACATTCCCTGCCCTTAGAGAGGGCGTCCAGCCGTGGCACTCCTAGAGATTTCTCTCAGGGCACCTGAGTGGAGGGTGCTGGGCCTCGCGGGGCTAGTGACCAAGGGGGGTCCCTGTGCAGAAGAGGCAGGGGTTCGTCCACCAGAGAGACCCACTGCACCCCTTTCCACAGTACAGTTGATTCGAGGCCTCCGCTGAGGTGAGCTTGCCTGAGTGGACACGGCCCTCCCGGGCCGAGCAAATTTTTCAGCCGGACGGTGTCTGTTCTTCTCCAGGAAGGGAGCGGTTGAAGCCTCCTTGTGCCGGCCCTGGTTGGGTGGATCCACCGGATACGCCTGAGAGCCAGAGATCGTACAAAGGATTGATCCGTGCTGGGTGTTTGGGCCCATTTTGAAGTGGGTTTTAGGAACGAAAACTCTCTCGTGTTGGAACCGGGCAGCTTTAGCATTCCGCACCAGCTCCTGAAGCAGGATGAAGCAGAGTGGGGGCAAGTGCCCCCCCCAAGTGTCCCAGGACAGTCTTTGGCCTCAGCCTCACAGAAGTGAGCAGAAGCCCAGCTGAAGAAGGGAACTGACCCGTATTTGCATGGCTGGCTGCTGCTTTGATTTCCACTTTGAACCGTATTCGTCATCTGGAGGTGGAGGTCACCCCTACACCTTTCCCCCAGGGATCTAGTAGCCCCCCCCCCGGCCTTCTGGAAGGCCTTGAGGAGGTGGCTCTTCTTGCACGCATTGGACTAGGAGGAGGCTGGAACCCAGTAAAACTGAATACTGACGTGTGGGGGAGGGTTGCCTTTGGGGTACTGGGAGTTTTTGGTAGGTTTTATGGCTTTTTGATATGTTTATTCTTGCTCTGTGAGCTGCCCAGGGTTGTGGTTCATAATATGGGTGGCTGTGGAGGTCCAATCCATCCATCAACCACCCAGTCTTGAGTCCAAGAATCCCCAGGGTGGCAATCTATCTACAGCACCCAGACAGAGGAGGAAAACGCCTGGCGTAAAAGTGCCCATCAAATCCCACAACTGCCTCCCCCGTGAAAAAAGAGGCTTCTGTCTGTCTCTGCAAAGGGTGGTCAAGGTCTGATGCACACGGACTCCCCTCAAGCACCCCAACACGGCTCTCAGCCTGAAGGAGGAGCGCAATGCCTTTTGGCTACGGCTAGCCCTTGTTTGTGGAAAGAGTTGGACACAGCAGGCTTTCTCTCCTGGGGGGCTGTGGAGCACTTCCTCGCCAGGACTGTCCAACAGCCACGGTTGTGGACCATTCCGTTCTGAGCCAAACCAGGAAAAGTGTGTCCTCATACCACACACAAAATCAGTGTTTTTCAAGCTTGGCCACTTGAGGATGTGTGGACTTCATTCCCCAACATGCTCGCTGGGGAATTCTGGGATTTGAAGTCCACGCATCTCCGAGTGGCCAAGTTTGAAAAACGCTGCTCTGAATGATCATAGGGTTTGCCTGGTTTTCGTTTGGATGCGTGAACCCTCCCAATTGTGGCTAAACAAGCCACGGGTGAGTGTATTGTGCAAACCAAGCCATGGTGTCCCCAGAGGAAGACTGGGACTCATGTTGCTCCCCTTGTGCAATGGGGAGGGACAGTAAGCAAAAGATGGGAGTTACCAGGAAGAAGGAGAAGACAGATTGCAAGAAGACTAACCACATATGCACGGCCCATGTTCCCAGTTCACCTCAGCAAAGACCTATAGATGTATCCATACAAAGTGCCCAGGGGGTCAGGGTAAGTGCTGGACTGGGGCCAGGGAGACGGGTTTCGGTCCACCCTCAGCCCCAGGAGCTCAGGGGCCACACTGATGCAAAGTTCTGAACTGGGTTCCTGAACTCACCCGTTTTCTGAGTTCATACAAGTCCGCCGATCAGCTAATTAACGCATCATCCAGATTAAAACTAACCATGGTTAGCATGTGCAAATTGAACTGTTGGGACTTCAGTGGATCTGGATAAGCACAGGGGGCAACCATGGTCCCTGCCTTCCACTGGGGGGT